TTGGATTGCGTTGCCGACCCAGGAATGCTGTGGGACCATCTGGAGAGGCCAGACGGAGCAAGTGGTGCGCATCAGGACGTATTGGCTTATGCGCGGGCGCGGAGGCTTCGGCGGTGGGGGGTATGGGAGGGGGGTGTTGGTTATGGGGATGATGCGTGAGGGCATGTCTGTTGTGTGTTGGGGTGGCTTGGGGTGGCTTGCGGTATTTTGTGTTTTTATTGAGATAACGCTTGCTCCAAGTAATGAATTGTATTCTTAGGGTATTGGAGATCACATGACAACTTCACGAGGTACATGCATGTGGCCCGTAGGCTCACATACCAGCGTGATATTCTGCCAGCTCGACCCAGTACAGCCTCTCGTACTGTACCCCATCCTTCATCTCCATCCCAGCTAGGACACCGAAATCAGAAAGCGGCTCATTGTCGCTAGCCGGCCCACCATTTACCAGCTTATAGGTTCCCGGCGTGATGATAGCTATCGCAGCTGAGACGTCGCCGGCAGCACGCATGGAGTCTCGGAGTTGTAACATCCGAAGTCGGAGGAAACTAGCCGATGGAAGCTCGTGTGCCCACACGCCGAGTGGCTCACCCTGCCAGGGGGAGGAGGTAGGAGAGGGAAATGGGGAGGGTGGCATGGGGCGAATCAGTGTCATCAGGACAAATGCTTTGGGTCTGAGGTCGGTAGATACTGTGTACACCTCGGTCGCCATCGGGTCCAAGATTTGGCCAACGTAAAGTGGAAGTTGATAGACACATCGTATTGATAAACCGATGCCAATTAGTTGCCATTTTAAAGTTTGCTGAGCTGCCGTGACTAGGTCATGAGGCGTGTGCTAACACGTATGTCGTTGCCTATAAGTTGCTTTGTCGGCAGCGCAATTCTTTCCCGACAAGTATCTTTTTCCGTCGAACATGGCAGCGAATTCGGCAGATAACCCATACAGTGTCGTCCTCAAGAGCGCCCATTATCCCCTGAGCACGCCCGTTCCACGAAAATGGGTGGGTAACACGGTCTACACCTACTCTGGAAGTGATGCAGTCCTGGAACTCCCTCGTTTACATGCTGCGATGGACAACTTGTACGATAAGATGGAGCCGGGGAAGAACCGTCGGCGATTTCAGATAGAAGATGCAGAGGACGCTGCCTTCATGTTGGCGGCTGGCGGGCCCGCTGTGGTATGTGCTATATGCGGTCGGTTCAAAGAGGGCGAGGCGGGCAAGGCGGGCAGAGCCGTCAATCGGTTGTATTGGATCGAGCGAGTCGAGGTCGTCCAAAGTTCTGACGGTGGCATACCCGCAGCGCAAGCGGCTTCTTAAAATTTCGATTGCTTCGTCGCGTGGCATTCAGTCAGAGTCTTGTGATAGCAGCTTCACAGCGAATGTCTGCTCTCCAAAGACATTCCCGAACGCGGCTATCCGCTTCTTGGTCATCCAAACTGTTAGCACGGGTATTTTCCTCCTCTTCATCGTGTTGTTCTCATTTGACATTTCATCTTTCTTCTGTGTGCTCTGTGCCTTTTCGACGTCCGCGTCGCCCTTATCCGTGGGCCTTGAAGTTTTCATCTCTCGGTCAACCTCGACGCTCGTGAGCATTGTATACATCCACCATGCCTCGTCTTTCCCATGTTTATCGTCCTCTCCACCACTCGGCGCTACGATGCGCCGAACCATATCGACGATGCCTACTAATTTTGTTGTGCCCTCACCCTGTGCAGAAACGGCTATGATCATATCATCCTCTTTCAGAGCTTCCGGCATCTCGATTGTAGACGCTGGGTCTTTGTACGCGCCCAAATATGTCTTCAACCTGTTGATACCGGATTTGATGTTCTGATTCTTCGAGAAGACGACGGGTACGATGTTCTGTGTGGCTCGCATGCGCTTCTGGATTTCGGGGAGCTTGCGCAGCTCGGTAGGCAGCCGTGTCCATGGCTCGTAGAGAGAGGGATGGATCGTGGGAGGAGATGGTGGTTGCGATGGCTTCTTCGAGCCTGTTCCATTGATCTTATCTTGCGCCTTTCGCTTCTTGCCAGCTGCCGGTGCGTCCTCAGGTGCCCCAATGATGGGAAGGGTAGGTCCTTCGCTCGAGTACGGCGGGCTCGCAGTCACCGTCGTGGTGTTGGCGTCTTTCTCGGCCGACGATGCGAACATCTCACTCATGCGCTTTGCATTACCCATGTTTAACAGCGAGCGGCGCGCAATAGTCGAGGGTTGTGCAGTCACGCGCAACTGCGATGACGAAAATTGGACGCGCCAAAAATCTCGAGACGCGCCGCCGGAGATACCAGATGGCGCTAGCTTATCACCGGCTGTGCCGCCCATCTCTCGAGACCATCTGATCTTTCGACACACACATACATTAATCTTTGTCACCGCGACTTCATATCGGAAAACATTAAAGAAACTTTCTCTCTCTTTGTGATCTGTACATCATGGACGACGATGTAGCTGGAAGTCTGGGTCGCTTGAGCCTCGCTACACATAGCCATCGTCAAATCGATACAATGTAAGCCGTACTAAGCTGTATAGATATCAGGCTTACGATGGAAGTGATCAGAATGCCCCCTACACACCGCCATTTCTTCGTTTGCCAGCCGAGATTCGAGTCATGATTTACGAGCATGCCTTCACCAACGAGACTATCCATGTACAACCAAAATCCACTGATTTACTTGGAGGCACATATCTCCTTCAACGTAACGGAATTCCAAGACACCAGCAGATCATCTCTCTTCTGATGACTTGTAGACATATCAGAGAAGAAGCGACACCTACCTTCAACGAGCTGGTCACCTTTGACCTGACACTCTACTACAACTGCATGGCGGCCGCCTACGAACTGGGACCAGATATCTGCCAAGCAATCAGAGCAATCAAAGTAGAACCGAGGCTTGCAAAACGCTTAGCTATAGGACTCCAACAGGGTGCCCCCTCTGCCACCAATTATAGGCATCTGTTGCCTTCCCTACAGCGGGTGCATATCCAACAGACTTCTATATTTGGGCTACTCAGTATGAGCCCTGACTTGGCTGTGAGAGCTCTGCGATTGTATTTTGGACATAACGATCTTGAGGTTATATTTAGTAAGAGGTGAGCTCCTCTGCACGAGCAAACGGAGCGTTGGACCCTGGATAGTGATAGCAGCGCTCACCGCCCTTGCGCAGCTTCACCTACTCACACAACCCGTGCCAGGACTGAAATTTGGGCGTCCTATCCTTCTTAATCATGAATCTCACTCAGTCGCAGAGCGTTGCCGAGCGGCTACGCGAGCGCAAGTAAGGACGAGCCCAAGGTCTTCACTGATTTGAGCTAACGATATCCCAGAACGCAATCAAATCAACGCGAATCCCGGTTTCTTCGACTTCCCGCGGAGCTTCGCGACAATATTTACAAGCATGTATTTTCAGGACAAACTGTCGGTATCTTCGCAAGTCAAATCCGGCAAGCTACGCGGAGACGCAAGCAGATATACAGGCGACGCGATTTAGGCGTATTCGCTCTCCTGTTGGTGTGCCGACAGATCCGACACGAGTCATTGCCTCTGTTGTATGGCCTAGCCAGATTCGATTTCACCTCGTTCAATAACAGCCGTGGTTCACGCAACTGCATAACCAAGGTGTCCTTGGTCATGGGCCCCGCCAACTTTGGGCTCGTTCGATCAGTCAAATTGGGCATAGGAACGGTGCATAATGTCCGCAGACTCATCGATTCCGGCTATATGGACAATCGCGCGTCTTCTATTCGAGATATTGAACTGCCCAAAGTCGAGCGTCACTGGATGAAGATTCGTAATGTCGACAGTGCCGAAGCCGAGATTCTTGCCGTTATGCAACGTTGGACCGGTAACATGGACGTCGTCCTACATTTCGTATAAGGACATACGTCACTCAGTGAATGTCCACTGTCGGAAGTTACGGGCCTGGGCGCAAAATAGCGCAAATCATTCACGATATCGCAACCCTAGCCGTCAGCAAAATGGCTCTACTTCTCCTAGACATAGCCGCTCAATAGATACAACTCAAGATGACTTCCAGCCCGGCAGACCCGACGACGCAAAGCGCCATCGCCGAGGGCACCCTTCTGCATCGATTTGGCGTCGACAGGAGTAGCAGCACTGAGACGTAAGTTATTCGCCGCACTGAGCTATATGCTTCCACTGACAGCGCCCTAGCGTCCAGACCGTCCAGCAGCCCTTCCGTTTCCTCGACCTACCCACGGAACTCCGACTCATAGTTTACGACTACGCCTTCGAAAGGAAAGTCATATACCCCACGCGCTCGCGCCGTTCGCAACCCTCAGTGCACAGCCGTCATTTTCCAGGAGCCTCCAGCCTTCTATTCTCTTTCCAAACGATACGCAACGAAGCAAGGGACTTCATCTACAAACACCGTACCTTCGACCTCCAATGTTATTATGACCTCCCAACAGCGCTTCAATATCTAGGGGCGGCAGTCTGCGGATCCATCACGGCCGTCAGGATCGAGAAGGTGGGTCTGTTCCGTCCAGGTCTCTATTTTTGTGTCTCCCCATGGAACGCCGATGACTACTCCCGGTTCATCAAGCGGTACTATTCGCGGCTACATGAGGCTCAACTGGTGACTTTACGATGGGGAAATGTGACGCAACCATTCCGGGAAGATGTTGCCGCCCAGCTCAGGGAGGTCGAGACATTGCTTGCGGAATGTCGAATTATATTGAAACCAAGTCTACTCTAAGACTAGGACTCAGATGCGATGCGCATCAGAGCTCGGCGCCATCGACGTTAGATGCTCATACGCACACGGCTTCAGTTTTTAACGATATGCCGAGCACCTGGCAGCCCACAGACGACATGGACGTATGAGTTCGGGGGAACTGTGAGTGTATAGGTACCTGACGAATACGTACCCGGTATATCATATTGGAAATGATAGAATAAGATGTCCAGGGACAGACGCCTTCTTAGAGGACGAACTTCAATCTACCCACTACCACACTCCCAACTTTCCTTTCATTCACTCACCCCCTCCGATAAATCGCCGCATCAATCCCCACCGCATCCTCCATAACCCTCACCGTCCACTCACTAACCGGCTCAAACGCCTTGACCGTATCCTCCAACTGCTCTCCCTCCCCAAACTCATGAACAGCCAGGAAAGACAACTCTCGCTCCTTCCCTTCCTCATCTTCAGAACCCGATTCTTGCTCTTCGAGTGCATACCGACACGTGCGCAGCCAACCCGGTTGCTCAGACGTTTGCTGGTTATGCTCTTCGCGGTACCAGGCATCTAGGTCCGAGGCGCCGGTGGAAGAGGGCTGCATGAGTGCTATCATGATTGTTTGTGCGGGTTCTGTGAGGTTGAAGGTCAGTGAATGATAGCTCTCATCTCTGTCTCTACTTGAGTTGAGACACAGTGTGTAGACATACCACAACTCTTCCCCGGACCAAAGATCTGGACTTCAGAATACGCCCTGATATCCCAGTCTCCACCCACGTTCTCGCTTTCAAGGAATTCCAACATTTGCTGTACGTTCACGCGTGCCAGATCTTCTGTTTCGCAGACGAAGAGATGCTGTTTGGAGTATTCGGTATTTGCGGCTTTGTAGTGTGTTGCAGTCTGTATGCCGAGAACATTGCCTGTTATGGCCGTGGATAAGAGGGCGAGCTTGTCGTCCGGTTGTGCTTCGTTACCTCCGGTTGAGGTGGGTTTGAGAAAGGCGAGGAGGACGCCGGCGCCTGTGGTGGGGTCTGAGGGTGCCATATTGGGAGAACGAGTGTATGCGGGTGACGAGTATTAGGATGAGTAAATTGTGAGAGGGTTTTAGGGGAAACACTATGGGGTTGGATGAAGATATGTTCATATGCAGTTCCTAAATAGACCATCGAGGGTAAGCGCATGCCGTGTCTCCACTTCCCGGATCAGGTTACCCGTTGGCTTCCTCTCGGCCTACTCATTACACGTAAATGCACTACAACAAAACAAGATTTCGATGGGTACAGGACCTCGAATTTCTTCAACATCAAGTTCGCTATTCTATTCAAATACAATTACATATATACAAAGACATGGCTTCCCCTACAACTTGCTCTTCTCAATGCGCTTGAACAAGACATCGCTGTCCGGATACGGATCAACGGTGTAGTTGTTAAGCGGGTTGAGCTCGCTAGCCCTGTAGAACATATCCTCGTAGACCTTGCCGTCTGCGCGGCCCAAACTGCTGTCCAAAACCCAGTCGTCAAAGCCCCAGGCATCCACAAGCCTGACAGCGTGTGGCCGGATTTCCTTGAGCAGGTTCATGACAGTGTTGGTCCTCGCGAGCGAAATCTGGTGCTTGCTGCATGCGCCGGAAGCGTAGAACTCGGAGCCCTCCTGTTCAAGTGTGTGCAGAGCGAAGAGACGGAACAGCTTCATCAGCACGTCGACAATGTTCTTGTCAACGTTGCCTGCCTTTGCGATGTTCCTGAGCGCAGACAGGTTGTTCTTTACGACCATGTACTGTGCGTGGGCCTTGCTGAGGCGGTAGAAGTCGACGAGCAGGTCGTTCCAGGGCTTCTTCTGCTCGTCACGGTGCTTGCTGGCTTCGAAGGTGAGAAACGATACGCGCCAAGCGAAGGCGTTGACGAGATCGTCGTCGTCGCCAATAACGTCGAATGCACAGCCGATGTCGCGGCGTGCATGGAATTGAGAAAGGATCTGAGTGGTGTCGTTCATTGGCTTTTCGCCCTTGAGTACCGAACGGGCAGACTTGAGCATCTAGAACAAAGGTTAGTAAGGACTGATTGCAGTTTAGCTAAGTATAGAGACTTACGTATCGCGCGACTTGCTGGGTCAACATGTAGTTGTCGCCTTCCCAGGTGGTAGTAGGGAGGTAGTCAGAGTACCACGGCCCGATACCGCTGAAGCTTGAGTAGCCGTGACCACCACAGGCTCGTCGGCAGACCTCGAGACCCTCTGCTGCGATCGAACTGCTAAGCGACTTCAATGCGCATGAAGAAGCGTGCAAGTCTGCCAACATATCGCTGCCTGATTGCACCTCCTCTGGCCCAGCTCCGCGCTTGCTTGGTGCGTTGGTAGCGTTGCCCTGGGCGATCCTCTTCTGGTTCTCCTGGTACATGTCCATCATCGACTTTCCGGTGAAATGCAAAGCAAAGGTAGCGGCGAGAAGAGGAAGCAACCGAATCTGCACCATAGTGTAGTTTAGAACAGCAGTCTCAGCCTCACCAGCGGGAGCATCTCGGTCCTGGAATTGCCGTCGCACAGCACAGTAACGGGTGGCGATGGTAACACCCCGAGCCAGCACGCTACCGGCTTGCATGACAATAGTCGATCGAACCCATGTGAGGGTTCCATAGACGAGGGAGGGCGCACCACGGCGTCCGAACTTGTTCGTGTTGGGGTCAACGAATGTGTAACGAGCCAGCATGCTGATGTGGGGAATCTTGACGTGGTTGAACAGAAGGAAACCGTTGTCCATGGTGTTGTAACCGAATTTGGGACCGATGTCTCCAATGTGGATGTTGTCGAGCGGCTCATGTGTCTTCAGATCACGGATCTGGACGCAGAATGGAGTCGGGCCGTATGATTTGCCATCAATGATAAGCTGAGCCATGACGACAGCGTGGTTAGCTGTGCGACCTAGTGATCCAATCCACCATTTGCTGGCGGTCAGATGTGGGGAGTGGATGGTGAAGGTCTTGTCCTCCTTATTCCAGGTGGCGGTGGTCTCAAGTCCTCGGACGTTGGAACCATGGCCAAGCTCAGTTTGAGCATAGCACCCGATGATCTCGTAGTTGTTGGCCTTGGTAAGCCACTTTTCCTGCTGCTCCGGTGTACCCTGGCCTTCAAGTGTAACCTGCATAGTGAGTAGAAGTCGCGCAGAGACAGAACATGGCGCGTACCTTGAACATAGAGTCATGGAGTCCGTATGGCCCTGGTTCACCGACAAGCTCTGTAGCAGTCCGGAATTCCTCAAAAGACCAGTTGTGTTGCTTCTTCAAGATTCTGAGTCTCTTCTCCCTTGCAAGGGCCCGCTCGAACCTGTCGATTCTTCCCATGAAGTAGTTCTGCGACTTGTCGAAGACCTTCTCTGACTTGAGAATGTCAAGAATCTTGTTCCTCCTGTCGATGACATCTTGAGTATGTAGGAGGACTTCGAGCTCCTGGACGGGTACGTTGGAGCTTTCGCGTTCAGCCTTGAGCAATTCGTGGCCTTGAATGCCCGAAGGCTTCAGTTGCTTGACCCAGTCCGGTGTTGGCTTCATTGTGATGATAGGTTGATGATAGAGATGATGGGGAGTGAATGTGTTTGGAATGATGATTAAGTAGGATGTCGATCTTGCGCTACCTCGGACAGCCGAGGTTCAAATTTGGACTAAGCCATATTCAGCGATGACACCCACGATCCGGACCGTGCGACGGCTTATACGCGTGCGCTTCTGATAGATAATCTCATGAAAATGCCGAAGCCAATGCCCCGAGCAGATGGCGAAAAAAGTTGGCGACACGGAGTTCTGTCATTTGCGCTGTCGCCCTCATCTTGGGGCTTTTAGTGCATATTCAAAGAACTTTTGGGGTTTCTGGGGTACCGGGGTCCTCCGGCGCCACGCTTTTCTCACAGAAGCAACACTGAGTCAGTGCCATGAAAGTATTTCAGATGTTTGGTGTCGCTGCACTGTATCAAAAGGACCTCGGCAGTCCAGGTCAAGAGTCCGCGTTATAGCTTTCCCATGGAGAATATATGGGGAGTTTCAGGACCACGTTGCACATGTATCTTGTGTTCCAAAGTACCCACGCAGCTGCTTCTACGCAGCCATAACATGGTACTGCATTGAAAACAGAGCAGCATCAGCCACGACTTGGCTGGTCACAGCCCCTCCCTCGCGCTACGAAACGTACATCGCGAGTTTCGGAGTGTTGTGTAGGAAGCAACGCCTTGCGTGCCAATCGGTCGGGTAGGACTAATCCGTCGTAGTGCATCGTCAGAGCCCGACACGAAATCTGGACCCTGGGAAATGTCGCGCCGCAACGCGGCTGAGCAAGTGCTGCCCTTTCTATCGCGTTCACGGGACCAAATTCATGTGCAGCAAACTAGTTCCTTCCGAACTGTACTACTACATCCAAACCCTGGATATATGCACGATCTTTTGTGATTCAGCATAGCTGTGTAGAATAGACAGCACACATTCAGGGTGCTTGATGCGGGACAGGTACAACCTGAGGAAGAGGGTTTCTTATATCGAGTGATTGAGCTATGCCCCAGTCAGAAAGGACGATCAGCTCCAGTGCATCGAGGCCAGGCGGCGGCTGCTGTTGAGACGCTGATAGGGGTGCTCACGGCTTTGTGCGTGGCACGCGAGCTCTTGCACAAGTAAGCAAGCATCTAGGCGCCGGCTGCCTTAGCAGAGCACCGCCCGGAAAGATGCACGACAAGGCAGCCATTGGCAAGGTGAGCGCGTATTCCAGTCAGGAGGCCGCAGTCCACAGCGACAGGAGCTGGTGGGGGAAACGGGACTGCAGAAAATGCGCGGGCGTCATCGTCTGGCCTCGACCTAGCCACACCCACTAGCCCGCACGGGCCCGGCCTGACAGGTAGAGCAGCGTCACTCTTTGCCTACAACACCACCCGGCCTGTTTACCCCCGCGAGCTAGAGCACGCAATTCTTTTCTCCTGTCCTCTCCCTAAGGACCTACACCACGCCCGCCACACAAGACCGACTACTTACACAGTCGCCCCTGCGCCTAGCCACATCTGAAATCCCCCCACACACCAACAGCGCAGTTTGGAATTCTATGCCCCTAGGGAGACTCGCGATCAACCTCAGACTTCCCCTCGTCTCCTCCCACAGGTTCCTGTAGGCACCGGACAACATGGGTCAGACACTCTCAGAACCCGTCGTCGACAAGGTAATTGCCTCCCAATGCTGGCCCCCCGCCCCCGCACCTGCGCTACTCCTCGCTCTATCTGGCAACAGGCGCCTGCATTGAGCTGCACGGCCGCGCAGGTTTTCCTTTACATGAAGACGACGCTAACACGCTGCTTGCACAGAAATCCGAAAACGGCGATGGCGAGTCACTCATCTACGGCGTGTCGTCGATGCAGGGCTGGCGGATCAGCATGGAGGACGCGCATGCCACCGTACTAGACTTTGCAGGTGAAGCCGGCAAACCCACTGGCAACGACAAGCGACTCGCCTTCTTCGGCGTATACGACGGACACGGTGGTGACAAGGTGGCCTTGTATGCTGGCGAGCAGCTACACCAGATTGTCGCGAAACAGGAGGCTTTCAAGGAAGGCGACATCAAGAAGGCTCTACAAGATGGTTTCCTCGCCACAGACCGCGCCATCTTGAGTGGTATGTTTCTCAGAACACCTGTCTCTCGTCAACAAGTGGCTGACTCACGCGAACAGATCCCAAGTACGAAGAGGAGGTATCTGGCTGCACTGCGTCCGTTGCCGTCCTTTCCAAAGACAAGATCTACGTCGTACGTTGAACCCTATACCATTCATTGGCCAACTCTCACATCAACAGGCCAACGCAGGTGACTCGCGTACTGTCCTAGGCGTCAAGGGCAGGGCTAAGCCGCTCTCTTTCGACCACAAGCCCCAGAATGAGGGTAAGAAACATGGATTACAAAGGCAAGCAGCACTGACATCTATCAGCTGAGAAGGCACGTATCCAAGCCGCAGGTGGCTTCGTCGACTTTGGCCGCGTCAACGGCAACCTGGCTCTATCGCGCGCGATAGGTGACTTCGAGTTCAAGAAGAGCGCCGACCTTCCTCCCGAGCAGCAGATAGTTACTGCCTTCCCGGATGTTGAGATACATGATATCAACCAAGATGACGAGTTCTTGATCGTCGCCTGCGATGGTAAGATACTACAACCTGCTATGCATGCGCGCTCTTATTGACTCCATACAGGTATCTGGGATTGCCAGTCTTCTCAAGCCGTCGTCGAGTTCGTTAGGCGCGGAATTGTCGCAAAGCAGGATCTTGCCTCCATTTGCGAGAACATGATGGACAACTGTCTGGCTTCAAACAGCGACACGGGAGGTGTTGGCTGTGACAACATGACCATGACTGTCATTGGTCTCCTACAAGGAAGGACGAAGGAGCAGTGGTACGAGGACATCGCAAAGCGGGTTGCGAATGGAGAGGGTCCATGTGCGCCGCCAGAGTACGGCAAGTCAGAAGATCCAGCCAAGTCCGCCTCAGAGAGCGAGTAGTTCAGTTCTAATATAATCGTGTAGCCGAGTTCCGCGGTCCCGGCGTTCACCATCGCATTGACGATTCCCCTGATGACATCGACATGGACTTGGACAGTCGATTCCGGCCGAACAACGGCAACGGCGGTCGTATCATCCTTCTCGGCGACGGAACCGAAGTCTCGACTGGAGACAATGACGGCGAGATGTTCGATAACGAGGACGAAGACAAGGATCTGGATTCGCAAGTCAACAAGTACAACCAGGACGCCAACGCCAAGTCTCGTGAGGATCGCGAAGGCACGCCAGGCCCTCAACACGAGAGCAAGGTCCAAGTGACTGAGTCGCCTTCATCTGTACAGACCGAGAAGTCCGATGCTCCCGAGTCTCAGACCGACAAGAAGCCTGAGGCAGGCACAACCAAGACGAGCGAGAAATAGCTTGTCCTCACTTGACTTGGCCACGATTAATGATGTTTGGCTCGAAGGGCTCAGTTTCGATGCATGATGACATGCAATGTCTCTCTTATGGATGTTTTGCAAGCGACGATGGGTACGTTGGTTTCTGTAGAATCAAGCAACGGGTCATGGAAACGAGCCTCATGGATCGCAAGCGGGCAGATTTACGAAATGATACCTGGCGGGCTCGGCCTTTGCCTTCCACTTTACCTAGCTATCACTTTGTTCACGATACAATGGGTTTATCGTTTATATTAACGTCATATGTGCTTGAAGTGGAAATGTATGCAGCGCCCTCATGACATCATTTCCATCACCCTTGTTCTATAGATTCATAGAGTCCATGTTGCATCAGACCGCGCCAAATTCCTTGTCTTTATGCGTCTACTTATTGCTGGCAAACAAGCTTTCAGATGCCCCACTCTCCCGCTCTTAGGTTGGTTTCCGGCGTGCACCTAATCTGGGTGTCATCTCGACAGTCATCGTCAACGGACACATATAGACTCCGATCTTGGAAGGTGACTCACAGTCGAGTGTGTCAATCGATAGCGAGGTCTGTGTTCCAGCCATGCTACACGCAATTGCCGTTCGCATTGCCGTCCGCGAGTCCGGAGATAAGCTCGAGATCAGGGTCCAGTCCGAGCAGCATCACCTTTCGTCATAATGTGCGACAGCTGTGCAAGCGTCACGATTATGGCGTGGATCCGAGAGTGCCGGTGGTACATTTCTAAAAGCAATGTGCAGCGCCTGTTCTTGATTCAAAAGACCAAAGTGAAACAACCATTCCCTTCTCAAGATCCATTATCGAGTTCCTGCTTCCTCAATTGCTCCGACGCTGTCTGTACCTGACTGGCCACTTGCATCATGGACCCTGTAAATCCCAACCAAAAGGCCCGAACCACGCAGCAATACGCCTTGTTTCAGCGAAAGAACTTTTGGAAATCCAATGAGGGTGAGGTACCGGTATTCAACACAGGTAAGTATGCTTTAGCTTCATAGCGCTATCGCGCAAAGCTGATGTACTGTATACAGAACCGGGCAAACTCGAAGAATTAGCAAAAGAGAAACTCAGCCAAGGTGGCTGGTTCTACGCGTCTTCAAATGCCGGCCAATCGCACACCCATACCGTAAACAGACAAGCGTTCTACCGACATCGAATTATCCCGCGTATGCTCGTAGATACCAACCAGCGCGACACTGCGACCGAGATATTTGGACACAAAGTTCCTGCGCCGATTGGATTTGCGCCTGTTGGTATCAACAAGATCTACAACCCAGAGGGCGAGCTACCCGTAGCAAGAGCCGCGGGCGCCTTGGGGCTACCATACTGTCTCTCGACAGCAGGCTCACAGAGCATAGAGGACGTAGGCCATGCCAACGACGAGGGCGTGAGGAAAGGACAAGGCGACACAGGCACCGCTGCCGGTGGCGGCGAGAAGGGCGTGAGGTTCTTCCAGCTCTACATGCCGCACGATGACGAGCTTACTCGTTCGCTCCTCCAACGTGCTGTGGACAGCGGCTTCACAGCCTGCATCCTAACGCTTGACACTTGGCAGCTCGGATGGCGACACGACGATGTCGCAAATTCGAATTACGCCTTCTACCATGGGCTCGGTGCGGATCTGGGCCTGACAGACCCCGTCTTCCAGAAGAGGCTCAAGGAAAAGGGTATTGACCCCAAGACACAGCCCAACGAAGCTGGCGCGCTCTGGATCGATAACGTATGGCATGGGCGCGCGCATACGTGGGAGAAGGCTGTGTGGGCGATGAAACTATGGAAGGAGCTCAGTGGTGGTAAGCCGTTTTCTCTGAAGGGCATTCAGAGTGTCGACGATGCGAAGAAGGCTGTTGATCTGGGCTTCGATGGCATCGTTGTGAGCAACCACGCTGGAAGACAAGTCGACGGCGCAGTCGCAAGTCTTGACTCTCTTGAGAAGATTGTTGATGGTACGTTCATATATCTTGTCTCTTGTTACTACACAGCTAACGAATTCTCCAGCTGTCGGCGACAAAATCTACATCATGTTCGACTCTGGCGTCCGTTCCGCATCCGACGTCTTCAAAGCGCTCGCTCTGGGCGCAAAGTTCGTATTCGTTGGCCGTCTGTGGATCTGGGGCCTTTCGATCATGGGCGAGACGGGAGTTGACCATGTTATGCGCGGTCTACTAGCTGATCTGGACATCTTGATGAATGTCGGAGGGTTCAAGAATGTTGGGGAGATTACGAAAGATGCGCTGGAGAGTGGACCGAAGAGTTATCCGCTTATGCATACGGCTAGTAAGCTGTAGGATGCTGAGGTTCTGGGATCTTATGGCTAGTCAAGGCGTCTTCGCGTGCCCGGGTTTCATGTAGACAGGCACTTAATATACCACCTAGTGTTGTGTATACTCAGTTCCCCACAGCCTAGATATATCGTACTTGCTTTATAGCTTGTGTTTGTGTTGTACGATACAGCACCCAACTCTGAAGTCTGCGAAGGCACCAGAGTATGCCTTCTACATCATGTGTCTGACACTCGTAATAAGTGTGACCTTCGCACAAGTACAGTCACGACATCTGAATTCACCATTCACTATGAGGAGCTTACGTAGCGCTAGGCCGCTATAGGCTGACCGCCATAGGGCTGAAGTGGCCCAAGCACTCCCGAACAAGACCAACTCCAACTCCCCTCAGCGCGCAAAGCTCTCCAATCGTGATCGCAACTTCGCGCGCGTCATGTTCTGCAGTTGTCGCGCATACTAACACCGTCGCATTGATTGTACTACTACGGGTTTCCGGTATACACAAAAGTTCATCCCTAATTCGTAAATAGAAAGAGACCCTGTAATCAAGATGTCGGTCATTCTATGCACAGGTACGTCGAGCTGCCTACTCCACATGTGGCAGACAAACGACTAACACTCAATTGCAGCCGGTTACGACCATACCATTAGGTTCGCACGCGTCTCATGCGCCATTGGCAGCCATTCGTACTGACTCCGACGTCTCTAGATTCTGGGAAGCGCTCTCCGGTATATGCTCCCGGACTATCCCGCACCCTGACTCCCAAGTCAACCGCCTTTGCATCTCGCCCGACAAGCGATACCTCGCCGCCGCCGGTCACCATACGGTCAAGCTCTACGACATCAAGTCGACGAACCCGAATGCGATCCTCACCTTCGACGGTCACACCTCCAACATCACCGGTGTCGCGTTCCACTGCGAGTCCAAGTGGCTGGTCACATCGTCTGAAGATGGCACGGTCAAGATCTGGGACACGCGATCAGGCAACGTTCAGCGCAACTACACTCATGGCGTTCCGGTCAACGACGTCGTCATCCATCCAAACCAGGGAGAGCTCATCAGCTGCGACCGCGGTGGTAACGTGAGGATCTGGGACCTGGGAGAGAATAAGTGCTCTCACCAGCTCATTCCAGAGGACGACGTCAGCGTGGCTAGTGTTACGGTTGCAAGCGACGGGAGCATGGTCTGCGCTGGCAACAACGCCGTGAGTCTCCCCGGATGAAGTTGTACTGATGTTTGCTAACACCGCATGTTAGGGCAACGTCTACGTTTGGCGCATGATCCAGCGCAGCGATACCACCTCGATCCTCCCCATCTGCAAGTTCGTGGCCCACACCACCTACATCACCCGCGTCCTCCTGTCCCCCGACGTCCGTCATCTAGCCACTTGCTCCGCCGACCACACAGCGCGTATCTGGTCCGTCGATCCTACCGCTCCTCATAACGTCACGCCTACCGACAACCTGCCGGCAGCTAGCGAGCGCGACCCAGCTGCCTTCCCTCTAGAGACTACGCTACATGGTCATCAGAGGTGGGTCTGGGATTGTGCCTTCTCAGCCGATAGCGCCTACCTCGTTACCAGCTGCTCAGACCACTATGCTCGGCTGTGGGAGCTTGGTAGCCAGAGCATCATCCGGCAGTACAACGGACACCACCGTGGTGCTGTCTGTGTCGCGCTCAACGACACGGCCGTCGGTAACTAGGATATTCACACTCTACGCACAACTGACAGGCATGACGTGATACCCGTCACCCTAGCGTGTGGAGGATAAGGGACAAAAGGATTCCGGCATTTGCATCAGCGTTGGCGTTTCGGCACGAGGGGATGGAAGGGTAATGAGTTAATGACACTTTGGCGTTTACGGCGAATGAGGTAACTTCTAATATGGATGCGGGAACGGGTCACCAAGGTTGTCAAAGTTTCGCATTGACGCAAAAGCGACGATACGCCTGGAAAATGTGTTATAGCAGACGGAACAAAACATCTGAATTGGAAATTTCCACTACGAACTCTCAACGCCCCTTGACACAGGCACAGCAATCTTGGAGTAGGTCAAATACGCGTCCACCGGCTCTTTCTCATGAGGTGGTCGCCAGTTGCTCAGAGCTGTACCTAGCTTATGGGCACTCCTTCTTTGCGCAGGCGTCCTACCAGTATGTTAGTCTCTTCGATCATTTCTGCGCTCCAAAACCCTCAACTTACATAGTTCCTAATCTTGCTCTGCACACACCCATCAAAACTAACTTTCTTCTCGCACAAACACGCAACATGCCTACATCACCCCGTTAGCCATCTCTCTCACCACCGTTCCCACATTACACATGCAGGAACTGTGATATTCGCGGGACATCGAACGTACATATCCCACTCCTTCTGACACTTCACACACCCTGCCGGCTGAGCCCTCTTCTTACACCCCTCCACACTGTTGCTTTGCATTCCATTTCCCCTCTTCACGTTAAGGCTGGTGTCGGCACTCTCATCTTCCGCAGCATTCTCACTCGCAGCATCCAGCACAAGAGCCAGCTCCTCTGCTTCTTTCTCGGCGGCTGCGTCGTAGTACGTAGACGAGTCGTATTTATCAGGGACGGCGTTGGCAAGGGCGCGTTTGGCGGGTGTTTGGGCGATGCCGCCGCCGGGGAGGTCGCTGTCGGGGAGTATGTTGTCGACCATCTGACCGGAGGCGATGCCGTTGCCTGGGAGGGAGTTGGAGGGGAGCGTGTTGTCGACCATTTGGCCGGATTTGGAGTTGGAGTTTGAGGCTGGGTTGGGGTAGAAGGCTGTGGGGAGGGGTGGAGGGGGGTTGGTTGAGGGGAGGATTGGGGCGGTGCATGCTAGGGTGGTGAGGGTTGTGAGGAGGAGGAATGTGGGCTTCATTGTTGTGGGGTTGGGGGTGTGGTATAGGATGACTGTCTGAATAAATGGGAGCGTGCGGATCTGAAGGATAAGAAAAATGCCAGGAAGGGCGGTGGCATTTATGCATGGGAACTCGCTGTCGGACTTCACGTCAACAGCTGTCATATCTCGAACTATCACTGTCCTTGACATCACACTCCATGGACAGACACATAATTCTGCTCGGTGACTAAATCCCAGTGTACGATTCTTCACCCTCCCTCCACTCACCTCCCCCTCCTCCTCTCCTCAAACCTCCCAACACTATCCCGAACCCCAAACCCATCCTTCAACAACCCACCCACATCCTCCAACCCCAACCCCGCCGTCTCAGGATAAATCCTCCAAATGACAATCTCCGCAACCACACAGACCACAGCATACAACGCAAACGTGCCCACCGGAGTAAAAATATTCATCATGGGCAAAAAGGTGATCCCAATAAAGGTATTAGACCCCCAATTCGTAGCCGTCGACAACGCGGACCCAAGAGATCGCACGGAGAGGGGAAAGAGTTCAGATTGCTGCCAGGGGACGTTACCCATGCCTATCGCGTAGCCGGCGACGTATGTTATCATGGAGAAGAGGATGACTAGGGGCCATATCTTGTTGTCATCGCCGTCAATAGCAGTGGTAGTGGAAGTAGCTGTAATAGCAGAAGCCTCCTCGGTGGGAAGGTCAACGAAGAGGAATGCAACAGCGCAGAGTGTGAGACCGATGATCATGATGGGGACGGAGCAGAGGAGGATACGTCGGCGTCCGATGCGGTCGATGTAGTGGAAGGCTACGAGTGTGAAGAGGAAGTTTGTGATGGCGATGGAGAGCGAGGTTAGGGTTGGGGAGGCGAAACCGACGAGGCGGAATATTGTGGCGGAGAAGTACATTAGTGAGTTCTGGGGGTGGTGTTAGCGGGAGTTTCATACTCTGGGACGTCTGAGGGGTACAGAGGGGGGGGTATGTGTTGCTTGGACGTGAGGGAGGAGACTTACAAAGCCACATAGTTGCTGGAAGCCCTGGAGCATACACGCGATAACCAAGGCTCGACGGTTCCCTCCGATGACGATCAGTTGAGAAAAGTTGTCTTGGACCCTCTCCTTTTTAGCTCTCCAACCGATCTTAGCCATGTCAGGAGCCCCTCGCAGTCCAGCTGCATCCTCCTCCTCTTCAATCTCTTTCTCTACCCGCCTCAGCACAGCGTTCACCAACTTCGTCCCACTTTCCTCACTTTTATACACACGCCCCAATACCCTCTTCGCTTGCTGCGTCTTTCCAGCCTTTACAAGGTATCGCGGTGTCTCCGGTAGGAAGAACAACATAACAAACTGTATGGCAGCCGGCAGCGCCCCCAAACCCACCATCCACCTCCACCCATGCAATCTTTCCGAGAACAACCACCCAACAATATAAGCAACAACCTGCCCCCCAGTAATGAACAAACTGCTCACAACCACCAGCCGTCCCCGGAAAGGGCTAGGGCTGAGCTCCGAGATATACAGCGGAACAACGAATGACGCGCTTCCAACTGCAGCGCCGACAATGGACCGACCCACAATCATGCCGCCGACACTGCTTGTCCATGCCTGCAGCAGCGCACCGAGTATGAACAAGATGTCTGCGACCAGAATCACGGTTTTGCGTCCGTATGCATCGGCGAGGATACCCGTTAGGGGCGAGGCGAGGAGTGCGAAGAACGAAGTGCAAGACGTAATCAAGCTCTTGTCGAGGGTGGTCAGGGGCCGGGAGGAGAGATCGGTGTTTATGGATATGAGGGTCGAGGATATAACACCGGTGCTGTTGTAGCGTTAGTATAGTGTTGTTACTCCCATTTTCTGTAGATGCCATGAGGCATGGCGCAAAAGATCGCAGGAATGGATGCGACGTACTCATATCCAAACAGTAACCCTGAGACCCCGGCGCATATAGTCAAACACCAAATAAACAGGCCTGGGGATACCAAGGCACTCTCGTCCACCTCGTCGTCTCTTATACTCGCGTCGTCGGCTTCATCGTAGCGGTCGCGTGCATCGTTCGGAACGCGGCGGTCGGTGGAGATCAAGGGCTCGGCTGCAGCGTCGTTCATGCTGTCTAGTTCTACGTCTTCATCTGAGCGCGGCATACAGCACACACATACATAGGAAGCGTGTTCGGGAGGAGGGAAAGCAGGACGGGGCGCTGGCGGAGGTTATCTGGGGTAGTGTCGGAATGGCTGCGGGAGTGCGGAATGCTCGAGACACGCTAGTGGGTGGGCCAGATCTGTGCCTGGTGATCCATGTCACCTGCAGAGTAGGCGGTACCAGCGGCACCAAGAGATGACAGACATGTTGCTTACTGCCTACATAGACGCCTGTTCTCAAAGTTATTTATGTCTAAAGCTCAAGGATTAAGCATAGAATATACTGTATGATATGTCCTGTTTACGATATAATGTCACGAAACGGACTGGGCATTCTCTTGTGACAGATCATTGCAGGCGCATAAACGAGGTTTGTGAACTTATAGTATTGATAGTAGTCCAGCAGCATGTGCTCACATGAGCCTGCTCTGCTTGCTAGTAATTTTCCACCTCGCCCCCCTGAACGCTGCCTCAAGGACGGAAAACGCCAAAGCGATTCCCATGACTTGTTCCTTCCTGGCGCGTTGCGATCGCGTGTAGCGTAGCGATCGTCCCGGTTCCCTCCCTCTCTTGTGCCATGTTGCATGCCCATGACATGCAAGTTGTCGTCCGTACCATGATCCGTTATGCACCCATCATGCCCAGTCAACGCCTGTCGCTATGCCTCAAGCCACTCATCATGGTGACTAATCAACCCACCCACGCTAAGCGCATAGCAAAATTTGGTAAAACAGGCAAGGAGAGCATGTAATGAAGCTCAGGCAGCAGACGCTGCGGACGCCGCTTTTTTGCGGTGAACCTAGTCTGAAGGTTCTCATTTGGGCTCAGCGTTGCCGTCCGGTGCATGGCTAGCGGGGCCAGTGGGTGGAGCTTGGGGACCCGATGAGTGCTGCGGCATCATAGGCTGCGAGTAACTTCCGCTGGGTGTACCACGGTGCTGCTGGGGGAACTGGTGATGTTGTTGCGGTGAGCCGTAGTGACCACCTTGGTATTGTTGCTGGAAAGGTCCTCGCATTGGAGCCACTGAAATGATGTTAGTCGACTATCGTACAAATAACGATGAATGTACTTACTGGCTCCTGGCTGCATTTGGTACATCTGAGGAGCTGGTGCACCAGGCTGCATGTACATCATAGGTGGTTGCTGCTGGTGGTGGCCTTGTTGCGATCCTTGATGGCTCATCATTGGCGCACCTGGCCTGGGGCTAGGGAATCCGTTGGCGCCCGGAGGCATGTGAGCCGGGTACTGAGGATACGCAGGAGCGGGAGCGGGAGAGTACATCTGCATCTGTGGATTACCTGGCATTCCCATGTAGGGCCCATTTGAAGGCTGGTTCGTCATCATCTGGCCCCCCATCGCCGGCCCAGGGCCGTTCATGAATTGACCGCCTTGTGGGTTGCGCATGGTGGCATGCTGCATGCCGGGACTCATGCCGTATTGCGGAACTTGCGGAGGGTAACCTTGCATTGGCTGGGGCTGTGCGCCATACATGTAAGGCGCCATTGGGCGTGGAGAAGGCTGGACTGACGACGTTGAGTGCGAATATTGCATGTGCTGAGCACCGAAATGATGTTGGTCCTGGCCGATATGCGGCTGTATCGGAGGTCCCCGTGGGGTGTGTTGAGCTGTCGGTCCTTGTGGCATACCTTGGGCGCCCTGGAGGTGAGGTGGTAGCTGATGCTGATGAGGCATGGGGCCGTTGGGCATAACATGCTGTGGTACTGATAAGGGCGCGGATGGAGGAGCATGATCAAACAGCTGCTCATATCCCTTGTTCGTGTTCGAAGAGGGGAAATCCCACGTAGGCGGGGTCTTGTAAGGAGGTGCAATATCGGAGTGATGTGACTTCTCGTTCGACTGCGCCTCTTTCTCAAGGCGTCCGATGGCATTGAAGGTCGTCAGTCCGTCCAGTGATTTTACAGTGGGCTTCGGGCCAGTGAAAAAGTTGGTAACAGGAGGCTTGCGGACTTCTTGCCTAGACGAGGTTGGCCTAGGACTGGAGGTAGCGCTTGGGGTTCCACCAGGCTGGAAGGTGTTTGCAGCTGGGTTGGGCTTGAACTCATGGGCGCGAACGTTGAACCTTGTAGACATGCTGGAAGAAGGTGTCTGGGCACCACTCGAGGGCTGCGAAGGACCAGTAGGTGGTATGCGCATATCCTGAGCTGGTATCGGTTGAGGAACGCCGTTGTATGGCATGGCACCTTGCTGCTTATGCTGCTGGTGGTTCATCTGCAGACGGGTGCTGAGTAGTCCTTGGTTGCGAGGAGGGATCTGGTTCATGTTCTGGTGGGAACCCCGCATAGAAGCAGACGCATAGGCTGGCTGCCCTGGTCGAGCACGTTGATTTTGTTGGCGTTCTGCGTTGGCGCTAGGAGATGCTTGGGTGGACTCTGGCTTGACAGCAGATCTTGCGGCAGCTTTGGGGTCTGCCATGGTGTTGGACGCCTTCGGGGGTGTAGTCTTCATTTCCTGCGCCTGTTTGTTCGCCTTGTCGACGATAGCCTGCTGCTTTGTCTCGTCCTTAGCGAGTATGGGCACAAGATCTGACGGTACTGGCGTGCTCAGTTTGAAGTTGAGCGCGAACTTCTTAAGATCGTTGAGCTTCACAGCCTTGTTCTCGCGGGCGAAAGCCCTCTGGCGATCGGAAATCCGTAGTTTCTCAGCTGCCGAGAACTGTTTGAAGGAGTCAAGCAGGTCGTGCTCAACATTGGTAGTTGCGTCGTGTGGCTTTCCAGCTTTCCTAGGAGGGATAGCAGCAACTCCAGATTTGATCGCACTACTTGGCTTCTGCAGCTGTTCCGCAATAGCCTTGTGCGCATCGACAGGTTTTGATGCAGGCTTGGGTGCGTCTTTGCTAGACTCTTGCGTTTTGCTAGGTTCAGGCGCAGCTGCTGCTGGTGCTGGAGCCGCGGGACTTGCAACACGTTGTGTCGACTGCGAGGCAGGCCGTGCGACGGAAGACGAGATGATGGCAGGGTCCACCGGTGCGCCGGGCACCGTCGCCTCGGGGGCGGGGGCACGTCGTGCGGGTGGGGTGTACCGGTTGGACTGGCCGCTTGACAGGTTTGTCAGGTCTCGTCGTACTCCACTGTACTTGTCCTCTTCATCGCCATTGTCATCGGCCGCAGTGTATCCTCCGCGCTCTTCGCGGACGTGCGAGTTGGTTGCGCTGCTACCTTCAATCTCTCGGGCGATCTTCTCAGCACGGGCGAGCCGTTCCGCATACTGTGGGTCATTCTTATTGATGGTGGTGGTGTAGATGTTCTCGTCGTAGTTGCTCTTCACACCGAACAATCGCTCGTTGGCGGAGAACTGGTCCCAGTCGTTCGAGCGGCCGGTAGACTCGAGCGTCATGTTGGGGTCAACCTCAGACGGTTCCCACTTCTGAAGGTTGCGCTCACGAAGTTCGAGCTTGCCAGAGATGTCGGTATCAGTACGGAAGCCTGCGGTGCCTTTTTTTGTTAGCCTGACATAGAAAGGCAATGTAGATTTTGGTACACACCATTCTGACCCTTGAGCTGGGACTTGTCAAGGACGACGTTGTTGACATTGAAATCAGCCACATCGCTCATGTCAAACGACATGACATGATAATCGCCTGAGCCAACGTAGTCGTCGGACAGCTGGCTCGTGCCGTTGGTCTGAGCATTGCTGGCGGGCACGAGCTTCTTGACCATCTTGAAGACATAGCGGAGCTCGCTGGGGTCGAGTGAGGTGCCTGAAAGGACACCGGAGTACTTTTCGCCATTCTTCAGCGTAATAATGCCCGGAAGACCCTATTTGTGTCATCAGCACTGTTCACCCGCGTCGCATGGAAAGCCAGCTGTCACTTACCGTCAGATTGGCCAGCAGGTACATCATACGGTCGCTGAGGTGCCTCATTGGGGAAGCGTTGTCGGCGGAGGCAGCCGTCGAGCTTTGTGGGGGCTTAGGTGAGCTTACGGCACCGTTGGGGGTGGGGGAGTGAGTCGGTCGCTGTGTGATGGGATTGGTGCCCTGGGTCCATGCCGTTTTGGCGGGAGGTTTCCTGCAAGTCGCCCGGTCAGCATGGCGCCAGGTGCAAGTGGGTAGGGTGTTGTCGAGGACAGAGCATTGGGACATGAGGTAATTGAGCACAGTAGACGGGGAGAGGGCCAGCGAGTGGACAGGGCAGTCGCACCGTGACTCCATGTGACCAGCCGCACGTCACACGAGAATATCCCGCATGGCGGGAACACTCGAGGCATGCCTCTATGTGTCTGCAATGCAAGGGACGCGGGGCAGGAGTGTAGGAGACGTGTTTATGGGGAGTGCAGGGCAGGAGCTTACTTCTGACCGCCGTCGATGGGGCTTCCGGGCTTTCGCTGCTGTGCGTCGATGCCTTTGGCGGCAGTGCTCATCTTCAGTGGCCGGGCGGAATTGGCGGCGGGGTTTAGAGCATTGGAGGAGGTATTCGGAGTCGCAGCGGCAGTGGACATGGATGGGGAGAGCAGGGCGCGGGCGAGCTCGGTAGCGTGGGTCGGTGGTTCGGTTTGTGGTTGCGGGAGAAGGAGCGACGGGCGGGGGAGGAAGGAGCTCCAACTCTAGGGTGAGAGTAGCGCAGGACGCTCAATGCGGCAGCAGGCGCAGAGTCGACGTGCGTGCGAGGGGGACAGCCGGACGGCGGAGGAGCGGTGGTGACTTGGTATAGGAGGCTGTGCCCGATTGAACAGCCAGAAGTCGAGAGTGAGGTGCAACGCCAAGCGGATCGCCTGGATGAAACACAAGTGCAAGGTGTGCGGGAACTAGGCCAGCCTCAGGCAGTAGCCGTGAAGGCTCGGACGACGGCACGAGGGCGCAACGGTCAGGCAATCCACAGGCTGGTGCGCGAGATGAATAGAGGAGACACTGGGTGGACGGGAGCGGATATGTGGACCTGGCACTGTCACAATTGCCTGACCTCAGTTGTTATCGCGACCACTGGCGCTGCCAGCCAAGAGCGTTGTTGT